TTCAATTGTGATGTGACGGTTTCCAAGTTTTCAATCATTTATTTGCATTGTTGAAACACACACTTCGTAGAAATTTCATTATGATTGGTACGTTAATTACCCATGTGTTGCACTTTTTTGGAACTCGGTAGGTAACTAGATGTAATTAATGTGTAAGTATACCATTTTCGTAGATCAGCTTTTGGGTTCACATATGTCTTAGGATTTCGGTATTGATTAGTTGGAATGGAAACAGGAGTTAAATTTGATTGGGATCCAGACCCCAAGTTTAATGTAGGAACGGCACCAGGTTTTAGGCTTCTTTTTACAATTTTCCCATTAAATGTTGATACAAGTATATATTTATTTTCAAAGTGGTTAGAACAAATTCTACTTTTTGGAGGCATTAAAATACCGGCAACTCTACACCATTCCTGGAGCTTATCAGGGATCTACAAAACAAAAATTTTAAGTATTGCATTTATAGTAGGTAAATAATTTTGACTAAAAAGAAGTCAAAATGCTTCAATTACATACTGAAGGAACTTGAAATAAAGAAGCTTCATTAGTTAATCGCGTATTATGGTCACAAATCAAACACTTCCTCATATTTAATCATTTAATTCAAATTTAAATGTCGCGTTTGAATAAATGACATTTTAAGTGAAGTACACTGAGACGGGTGGCGACATCTAGGGAGCGATTTTAACTGGCGCCGCATTCTGTCTTACATAATGGCGGCGAGTCATCCTACCAGTCTCTATATATCTTGGCTGGCTATAATAAAAAAAACAAAAGAATACCAGAAAGTCAACAAGTGTCAAAAATTAGATAATTATTTGCTGCAAGTATACTTTTGATACAAAATAAGATTAATTAAAAAGGCGAATTTCGAACAAATGAACTAATTTCTTTAGATAAATACGGAGAGCCGCAACTTTATAGGTATCAAAAGAGCCGCAGGTTGCCGACCCCTGATCTAGGATCACACGTCACACCTGGCAATTTTGATACAAAATAAAAAGGTCGTTAACCTCTTTTCTTTTAAATTCTGACGTTTGAAATTTGTTCTCAATGGTTAATCGATAACTTATCGATAATTATCGATTAATAGATAGTCAATCGATAAATTTAAAAAAAATGGTCGACCGGTCAACAAAAAAAGAATTTTTTGCGCATGGGATTTACACAATATATATTCTGACTAAGCAAAAATAAATAAAAAGTGCGATTAAGACATCGAAAATATTTGCTTTTACAAAAGTTACAGCGGTTTGATTGAAAGCTTTCAGGGGCGAAAATTAAAGCGGAATCTTTGTTTTCCCTAAAAAAAAGAAAAATGGAGAGTGATATTTTTCCGCGGTTACTTAGCAAAGAGGAAAAAAAATCCTGGAACAGTTTTAAGGCAATAGTCCATGGTTTCCCGTTCAGTGTTTCCTGGGAAACCATAGAGCTGAAAATTATGACGAGCTGACAGGATTTGGTTTTGTATCATGGGGTATAGAATGTCTCTAAAGAATAAAGATGCACAGGTTACATTCTCATTTAGATCAATTTAAGGATAATATGGGAGCTTATTTGGAATAAGGACAACACTTTCTCGAGACAATGGAACTTAGGCACCTTCCCAAGGCCAGGAAGTTGGAAGCATGATGGAAGATCAGATTCAGTTGAACATGACAAAAACAGCAAAACTGTTCCATTTTTAAACATTTAGACTCTAAGATAAACAAATTATAAATGTAGAAACGTTACCATTTAATAAATCATGCCTATGTAAGTAGGATTCTATAGGTATTTTTTTTTTTAGGTTTTTTGCATTTTTTTCACACAAAAACAAATACATAACCATTTTTTGTTCTAATTCTTATTTGTGGCTATAGAAGCAATAAAAATAAGGTATATATGTCCCATGCGCAAAAATGCTGTAGACCGGTGTAATTTATCGAAAATGTTAAAGGATTGGTCGATAAACCTATAATTACCGATAATCTATCGATTAATCTCACAACTAAACTATTAAGATAGATAATTATCGAGAGAATTTTTAACGACATAAACTTTTCAATGTTTAGGTATACCAGTTTACTTCCAACAAAAGCGATGTAAGAGCATTGTTGAGTTGCCATATGATCACAATTCACAACCTACTGCTGTACTCATTTTTGAGGATTATCGTCCACTTGATCACCTTTGATTTCAGACAACTTGAGCATCAAAAGATCCTGTTTTATTTAAATTATCTCTCGCAATATCAATACCAAAAAAACAAAAATGTTAGCGAGTGTACGCATGGATGATGTAATATATCGATTGAGAATATATATCGATGAGATTTATGAAAAAGTATCGATAGTTTTCTCTTGATAATTTCCGCTACTTATTTATTAATCAATAAATATCAGAGATAGACAATTTTCGTGGCAATAATAATCGATTATTATCAGCAGCTAACAATCATTATTAATTATTTTCAAAAGTTATCGATAATTATAAAAAGTTATCGATAATTATAAAAAGTTATCGATAATTATCAAACGTTATCGATCATTATCGAAAATTAGCCTTACGATTTATCGATAATTGTCGATTATTATCGAAAGTTAACGATAAGTGATTAAAGTTATCGATAATTATCGACAGTTATCAATTAATGATTAATCGATAATTATCAGACTGAACAGACTTATCGATAAATCGATAACAATTTCATTTATCGCTCAGCTCTAGTAGGTATACGAATTCACGTAAACTGGGACCGATTTATTTGTGCACAATGCTGCATGGTTATAAAAAAAGCTGATTCGCGAAATTTAGTTATCAAATGTGAATGTGGAAATGATGTAGCTGCCTGCTTGCAACGGACAATATTTTGCCTTCAAATTTTTTTTGGTCGTTTTTTAATAACAAAATCTCCCGCTTTCAGTAAAAATGTGGAACCTGCCTATTTTACTGCCTGTGAATAGAATGTATGAAATTGCATTCCTTCAAGGACAAGGACTGCAAGCTTCGTTCGTCTAAATGTATTATTATTTACATTACAAATTTACGCAATGCTTCTTAAGGGATCTATTTTTAGAACATTCCAATCCTATTTATAAAACCATTCCAATGATAACACAAAAAACATCCGGAGTTCCTGACATCTGACGATTAAAAAGGAAAATATTCGAATGGTCAAAATAAATGGTTTGTAATGCTGCCATCTAATGTCAATGTAACGCTCCACTTTCGATCGCCCACGGACTTTCAAACGATCGAACTGCTCCTAGCGGCGGCCAGTTGGCACATGGTCACAAACTGTTATATGGGATCCGCGCTTCTGATAGTTATAAATTCAATGACACAACTTAGGGCAATGCACACATTTTTCAGAGTTGGCAACCACGCAATTTTTAGGAGGGGAAAAGCCAAGGTTAGTAGTATACTAACCTTGGGAAAAAGCTACCTGCGCCATCTAGAAAACGCGAACGTGGGTTACGTTTGGCATCTTGTATTGAATGGCGGTCGTGAACGCGTCGCTCCATAAATGTAGTTATTTTGTGTTATTTAGTGCAGGGAGTAATTTTTTTGCATTTATTTATATCGTATTTGTGTTTTGTATACCGTATTTTATATTTTTTGTGTTTCAATCTTTGCTTTTGAAATTTACTTGGTTTAACGGCAATGCAGAATGAAATGTTTAATACCGTAATTTATGTTTATTGATGTTGATTATTTGGTCTTGTCCCTGAAGTAAGATTCATATAAGTTTTGATCATTTTATTTTAATATGTGGAAATTACCGAGTTTTTGATGTATGTACTGACTGTGTTTGTAACTAACAGTTTCAGTCACGGAGGTGGTAAAAACTGTCGTCAAAATTGGGCTACGACACCTAATTCCGTGATTGTCTTCGACATTCAACTGTAGGCTCGAAACCCCGAATGAGGGGCGACGCTACCTATTTTGCGGGGGCGAGATTATGCTAATCAAAACTCTTCGATTTGGAATCTATGTGTGATATGAGTGGCGATTCAATAATTTTCACATATTTTTACCGATAGTAAAATTTGCTTACAAGGCCAGGTAATGTTCCATCTTGCTTTCAACAAAAGGACTTTATTGCACCAAAGATGAGTCACATCCTGTACTCCTAACCCTTTCTCAGAATGTAGGTACCTGCTCCTACCTGACTCATTGTTCCCAAAAATTTGTTTTTAAACTTGAGTGTAACTAACATTGTATATTTGCATTTACTATCTTTGTTAACTACTGCTTAAACATTTACAAATATTTTGTTAACTAACTTTTGACCTGTTTTAATCTAACTGCAAGGTTTTTCTTCGTCGTACTCTTTTTACCCTTAGCAGTTATTTTTGCGAGAGTACGACACCTTTTTGGCTTTGTTTGCTTTGCTTACATTAACGTACATCCACTAAATTTCCGGGTTTTCACTATCATAATAATTACTACCATTATTACACAACCTTGCCCTGCCTTAGATCACGTGCCACTTTTCAAATTTAAGCGGGATCTTGTTTAGTTTTGGAGGGAATAGTCATTAGGGTGACCATTTTTTTAAACGTTGCCTGGTTGACTTTATTTCCATGTTCTTGTAGTGTGAAGTTAGCGTAGAACCTGGGGGTTAAGTACACTACAACTTCAGTTAGAAAACCTTCGTTAGTCATGGACTTAGTTAGAATTTTGATGTTGCATTGCAAGACAGGTTTTTTCAATTTATTCGAAAACCTCAAGCAGGCCTTTTTATAAAGAAAAACTGTTTTTCGTAAAACTTTTAAGAACCAAGGTATCCATATGTTGCCGACTTAAGTAGACACACTGTATAAGGCTTTTTTATTTTTCAGGTTTCAATATAATATGCATAATACAACAAATCGTATCGGCCACCTATCCGCCCGTTCGTCGGCCGTTTTGTTTGCCTTTTAGAACACATTTTGTTCAAAATTGTTAGTAATGTACAGATTTCGTTAAAAATATTTTCTCGGTAAATGTATTGAGTTTAATTTATATGTGGTGTCTTCTAATGTCTGTGTAATTTTAGTATATCCATCATTTCCAGTGATTTTTTTTGTAAATTTGCGGTAACTATCTCGTGTTCCTTACAATATTCATGTTGAGATTTGGAGTTCATCTTTCTTTTCTTTAACTTTCTTTCGTCATGTTCTTCTGTGAAAACAAATAAATTAAATAAAGGTTTTTCCAATTTTTTCGGAAACGAATCAGAGGGTGAAATGGGGTGAAGTAGTTTTTAGTTAAAAAGTTGTCCCCCTTGATAAATCTTTTGACGTGTCTCGGCGTTTTTTTCCTTTAATCAGTGGTTTTCGATAAATCCGTGCTGGAAAGTTTTCAAATGAACACCCTGTATAGCGTCGTATTAAGAACGATAAATGCAGAATGGTTAAACCTACAAATGTGTTATATTAAATTATGGCCTTACCTGCCACCTGTTACTTAAAATACGTTAGGGTAATGAGTAATAATTAAACTCTCTTCCGACACACCGTTTTCGAAATGTTCTCACTTGAAGTTTTAACATCACCAATACATATATCTCTTCAAGACGTTCCAATTGGCTCTTGCGAGTACCCTCCTCCGATACCCGTTCCGTTCTTGAGATAATGGGTGGAGGAAGATATAACGGTTTATTTTCTTCATTACAAAGCATTGTTAGGTACTTTTCACGTTTATTATTTGTTGAATGAATGAAGCAGTTTAATAGATGGCTCCATCTATTGTTGGAATTCGAACCACGCAATTTTAGCGCGCATTTTCCCGACGCCGTGCTTTTTGTTTGTCGATTGTCGACCTTCAGCTTCATTTTTCTTTTGTGAACCGTGACCGAGTGCCCTCCATTTTAAAATTTAATTAAACAGCTGAGACATTAGTTGAGACCGCATGGAATTTTAATTCATTCATATTTTATTAATCTCTGGCAATTGGAGTTATTGAATTGGGGATTGGGAAACGGATTCGCCCTTAACTCCAATAGAGAGGATATAATTGCGTTTTTCTTCTTTATCGTAAGTAAGTAATTTGCATTTGCAGTAATTGAAGTGTATCTTTAGGTTTCGGCTGATATTTTTAGCGCATTTCCACAAAAATAAAAATAAAAATGCGCTATTGTGGCCACTTTGTCCGTCCGTCCGTCCGTCCGTCCGTCCGCTAACTTTGCGACGCTACTAGTTTTTTATCTTAAGAGCTATTGTTCTACTTTTTTTCGCTATTTGGTTCGTTATGGTGTCGAGTCTTGTACCAAGGAAGGAATTTTTTCTGTACCGCTTACAAAAAAAGTTATTGCAAAAAAAACAAAAAAACCGTTTTTTACATGTTCCATAATTTTACACTTTTGCCGTTTATTAACGATCCTAGAGATCGTTTATAATTTTGCATTGCTATCTGTCGCCTTCCGGTTGGTCTGTCCGTCTGTTCCTTTGTCTGTCGGTCCATCTATCTGTCCGTGTGAACGATAACTTTGTTTAGAAATGTTCGATCGCTTTTACATCTCCGTTAGTTATGAACTGAATTGCATGAAATTTAATATGGGCATAGCTTTAGCCATATAATACGCAATGCCAAAAGTTGAATCGAATCGATTCAAAATTCACAGTGCCCTTTTCGCATCTCGACCATTTATAAACCGAATTGCAAACTTTTTTACTTATAAAAGTATTTGAATGAAATTTGATACATAGGCACTTGGAATAAAGGAAAATCAAACGCCAATTTCAAAATTTGGTTTTGCGCATGCGCAGTGTCAACTTTTTTATTTATGGAAGAATTTAAACGAAATTTGATACATAGGTACTTGAGATAAAGGAAAATCAAACGCCAATTTCAAAATTTGGTTTTGCGCATGCGCAGTGCCAACTTTTTTATTTATGGAAGAATTTAAACGAAATTTGATACATAGGCACTTCGAATAAAGGAAAATCAAACGCCAATTTCAAAATTTGGTTTTGCGCATGCGCAGTGCCAACTTTTTTATTTATGGAAGAATTTAAACGAAATTTGATACATAGGCACTTGGGATAAAGGAAAATCAAACGCCAATTTCAAAATTTGGTTTTGCGCATGCGCAGTGCCAACTTTTTTATTTATGGAAGAATTTAAACGAAATTTGATACATAGGTACTTGGGATAAAGGAAAATCAAACGCCAGTTTCAAAATTTGACTTTGCGCATGCGCAGTGCCAACTTTTTGATTTATGGAAGAATTTAAATGAAATGTGATTCATAGGCACTTGGAATAAAGGAAAATCTAGCGCCAGTTTCAAAATTTTATTTTGCGCATGCGCAGTGCCAACTTTTTTATCTATGGAACTATTTAAGTGCAATTTGATACTTAGGCGCTTGCAACAAAGGAAAATCTAACATTAGTTTTAAAATTTAGGTTTGCGCATGCGCAGTTCCAACTTTCTTATTTAGAAAAGCTTTGAAATGAAATTCTTCTCATAAACTGAAATTGAAGTAGCACGTCAACAATGGATTGCCCATGTGCAACGCTATCTTTCATATTTGTGGCCGGATTTTTACGATTTTAACAGAAGTTGCATCTTACAAATGGGAAATGAATGCAAGTGGAAATGCGCTTTATGTAAATCGTTTACGATTACTTTTTAACTTGTTCGTTTTACAATGTCTATCGGCGATTGTTGCATTCATCTATTATTAGTCCTCTTATTTAAGAGGTATGCACATTTCAATTTATCAAGGAAGAGGGGGTACCTTTGATTTTCTTTTAGGGTTTTAGTTGTAGGGTTCAAGTGTTAGTTAAAAATGTAGTTGTAATTGACCAGGAAGTGCGGAATTTCCTGCCATTCTGTCGACGTACGAGTCTGAAGTTGATAACCATTGCGAGTGCATATTTGACATATGTTCCACCTGCTGATAATGAGCGGCCATTTTCCGATTCATGAACGAGATTTGATAGCAAGAATCGATTTTCAACAAAGAGACAACTTTCGTCACTTTTAGCGTATTAGTATTTACTGTTTTTGCTCCTTCTGGGTTATATCCTACCACATTCAAGTAATTTGTTATTATCTTTGCGATCTTGGTTATTCTAGAGAACCTAAAAGGATTATTATACGATTTTAAGAAAATTTGAAGAAACTCCTAAGATTCTGAAGAGTAGCCGTCATAGGATAATTGCGTCAAAAGTCGCAACGCCTATAAAAAATCACGGATTGAAGCAGGCGAGTGAGCGAAAGATTCTAGTGTCGAAAAAATAATCTTTTGCTAAAGCGTTCTCTGAAAATTGGCTCGTAGAGGAGAACACAAAGCTTATTTACAAGGATTCGAAGTGATTCTCTAGAGAGCAACGTCCCCAAATGGGTGATGTTGGTCAAGGAGGGTACAGGCCTAAAAATTATCCACGGACAAACTCACATTATCAAGTAAAATTCTGGTCGAAACAATTTTGTTGAGGTCGAGAATGCATAAATATGATCCAAACTTTGATAGGTTTCCTGAAAAGGTTTGGGGATGAACAAAGTGTCCGCGAAATGAATTCCCAATCCTCCAGTGGAACTAGACTCGATGCAGATAACGGATCCCCATCGCAAAAGAAAACGCGAAATTGATTTACTGAGGGGATCCTGTTGATTCGAGTATACATGAAGAAGAGCACTACCATAATTAAGCCTATTAAAAACCTGCCATTCGAGAGAAAAATCTTACCAAAAGGACCATACTGCTACACCACAATTGCATGGTGCACAAGGTCCCAAAAAATTCCACAAGTTATCGACTATGACTCGTAAATTATTGACCTTCAATGATTCTATAGTCCATCCAACTGGAAAACTAGTGTTTGGTCCAATACCTTTGTCTACTTGCCAATGTCTGAATGATGTTCGACATCATCTTATCTGATAACCCATCCTAACACCTAAGGCAAAATTATGCATAGGTAATTCTGCGGTAGGTATAGTGCAACAAGATTCAAGAATACATAAGATGCAATACCTAGGTACCTACACAACAATTATATTACGCAACGTAAATCAACAACCCATATTTACCTAACTTTCCATTTCGAAATTGAGCCAATTAAGACAACACATCAGACGGGCACGTTTGCTTTGTTGCGAAACTTAATCAATATTTGAAACAAGTAAAATTAAGAGAACATTGCCAAAAGGAAAATTTCGCCACGTGAACATATAAGGAACACAATATTAATGATAACGATAAAATTTTAGAGCGCTACCTATAAATAGACGATCGGTTCCATTTCGTCGCTTTTCACTTTTATGCACATTATCTTGTGCAATGAAGCCATTCGTTATTAATGGATTGTAACACCGTAAATTGCTATCCTTGCAGGTGTTGATATTCATATGTATTAAAAGTGAACCGTTTTAGATACTTGTTTCGTTATGTAATTCAATGCCGTCTTCTCTTCTTTCAGTTTGCAAACCTGCTTTGCCATTACGACCTTGCTAATTATAAGATTTAGTGCCTTTTCCATTTCCATATAAGGAACAGTAATTTTTTGTTTCGGTTTTGTGTCATCTTTCGTTCTCACTCAATAACTCACGTTGCAACTTTTTTTGACTTCTGAGAAGATCATTAATAGCTCTAAAATTCCTGAAAAGTGATTGAAATAGTAAAAATATTAACGCCTGATATGTTAGTATCACAAACTGGACAACGGTAACGGAAAATTGACTTTCATTTGATCATAAAATGGCTAGACGCTAAGGCCGACCGCACACTGGTCAAACAAAACGTTTTTTCGAAAGACGTTTCGTCGGAAAACAAAAATGTCGGTGTGCGGTGGTCTCAGACAAAAACAGGACGAGAAAACAAATCCGGTCAGTCACCCGTGGACTAGTGTAACGAAAACGCAGTGCGTAGGTATGTGGTGCTAAAAATGGATAAAGAAGTGGATGTTGTGGAACTTTTTACAACTTACCGATTAACTCCACGGGGAATGATCTAGCTAGATCTATATGCTGCGCCCTACCTTGCGCATGCGCAAATCCCTTTGTCTTACCCCGTGTTTGCTGCCAAGGAAATAATTGAGAGCCTTTTCCAATGATGTGTCGCTCGACCCAACGTTCAATTTAAAATCATTGAAGAGATAGCAACCCTACTTAGGGGGTTGACACCGGGGGTGTAGATTTTGAAAGAAAATATGTCCACCTTCTAACTCAAATCGACCTACTTTTGCGTTTGTTTTATAAACTATTTCCTTACGAGTTATTCAGTCTGTTACGTTTCCGTTGAACCACTGTCTAGATGCTTAATTTAGTTTAAATAATCGCGACTCTCCGTCTTTTGTGCCAGCTTTTATTGGCTTTGTATGCCATTTTATATTACCTGGTAAGTAAGGATCTCTAGTAATACTCACTTCTAGCGTCGATGGCCCTGAACTTTCGGTCTACTGCGAGAAAAAGGAAATAATTAATACTTCAGCCAAATTTAATATAATTTACGTTAGCTGCTCGCATATTTGGACAAACTTAATTCCAATTACAAATAATTGACGTATAATTTCGCGGGGCTTAATTTTAATTAGCAATAATTATCTTTTATCGAAAAATAATTTCGCAAAAGCTACGTTTGAGGTAAAACAAAGTAATAAACATGAGCGCAACCGTGGGCCACGGCGCAACGCATAATTGTGGCAGCCTAAATTTTTAATTAAATCATGTATACCCTTGATGAGAGATGCTAGTTTTGCCAATTATAAAAGCAACGTACAAATTATTATAAATGTAATTCAATTAACTAATAGTAAATGAAGAGATACTACCTACTTTATTAACAGTGCCTAACAATATTGCACGTTTCCTCTACGATCACTGCTTTGGCCACTTCCTTTGCAAGTTACAACCAAAATATTTATTCCTTTAGAACCAGATTAAGCTACTAGACATTTTCAAAACGTAAGTTTTTTTTCTTTGTTATTGTTTTGGTCGCATAACCGAGTTCTGTGCAGGCATGATAAATAGACATTATAAGATAGTATGAGCTTGGATCCCACAGCGTCAAATATTAATCCCTAAGAGCAGTGCCCCGCGGGCCGGGTTGCGACTGCTGGACCGCGACTGCCAAGCCAAGTTCGGAATGGTACCTTACAGACGTTGAGAGCGACCATTGTTTGATAATCCAGATTATTCGTCACCTCCACACTCCACTGTGTCACTCCAACTCCATGTCTGATGAAAATCACAACAATAGTTGTTGATCTAGAAAATTAAATGCCTATGTATATGAACTCTTAAATGTAGTGAAAAGAAGGCAGATCATAGCTCCTAAATCCTAAAGATATACAAAGGCAGAAGGCTGAAGGTGTGAAAAGTTGCATAAGGGAATTCAATTAAAGAACGCCTAAACTTGCCAGAAGGACTTACGGACATTGCAAGTACAATCCGAATAGTAGCAAAAAAACCTAAACCACCAACTAATAATAAGATGATGAATTTTTGATCCATCGTTTATGCTTAAAAAGCCTTTTTACTAAATTACGTTATATGGCGATATATATCTGTGTAATTAACACTTTTGTCCATGTTTTCAACACAAATGCAATTTTAAAATCAAATTTGCGTCACTGCCACTACGTACATAGATCTCTGGAGAAATAAACTCGTCTGTAACGTGAGTAACCTAATTATGAGGACTGCATATTAGATCATTAATTTCTAAAATGAACATCCTGTAGAGACCGGCATAAAATTGCATTTTAAATGAGAATTATGACATGGCCGCAACGGCAACATCAGCAATTAATGAAGATTTATTTGTCCAAAATTTAGAATTATAAAAAATCTCTACACTCGTTATGTTAATACCTACTTTTTTTAGTGTTATTCTATTTGTTACTCTCCCATGCACGTAACCTTTTTAGAAGATGCTAATAATAAATTATACTATATATCGTCGTGATTTTCAAGGACCACTGAGTGTAGGTATGTCTAAATTCTCAACCATCACATTTTTTGGTGTTTTGCTAGCTACATTTGTAAGTACCGTATTGATTTTGATACTTTCCATAATTTATTCGCATTCATTCCGTTTAATTTTCGCTTTTAGGTACATTGAGTGTACAGCTTTTGCTGTTTCTTGCACAGTAATTTCTGCCGCCTTGTTTAATTGCAAGGTAAACTTTTTGATACTTTCTGTTTCATTAAATTATAAGGGGAGATATTGTTTCGCTTTTCTGCATTTCATTTCCCGTAGACACCGCTAATTAATTTGTGTTTTGTTGCCTTATGGGCCGTGCGCCGTCATTTTGTTTTAGTTCTTCCGAAGCACCCGCCACCATTTGGTGATTGGTGAAGTCGTCCGATTCCTACAGCTGCCGTTTACTCTGATTGAGTTTACTAGAGGCTTCTGAGACCGTTCCGCAAACCGCTACTAACGCCGACCTTGACTAAGGGCAAGGTTGTATCCCTTGGTGGCGCTCGAGTCTGTCCGTCCGTACCAGCGTCATCCCATCCAGGTTGCCGCCGATTGCCGCTACTTTCGTCCGCTGGTGTGATTCATTTACAATAATTTGTGAATCCATTTATTCATTTTTAATTAACTTGTAGTCTTTAATTCGCTAACTACATTGTTTAATTTTCATGCCATTTGTGCGCGGACTTGCTTCGTTGCAATACAGCAATACCACCATAAATGTCTGCATCCAAAATATTGAATACTTAAAAATTAACAAAAACGTCATTTCTTTAATTTATAGGACAGGATTCTGTCACTATTAAGATAATCCATGGCGAGGGAATTCTGACTAAACGTGGTGAAGTTAGATTAGAGCCGCCAGAATCTCTGCCTCGAGTGTGGGGTGGCTTGACTGATGTTGTAGGAGGCGGGGGACTCTAATCAAAAACCGGTAGGCAGCACAAAAAATTCCCATGTGAGCTCTAAGTGCACAAGATCAACTGCGCATCCTCTTCTCTCCATCCAGTCCTATTAGAAAATTATATTTTGGTGCAGTGATTGTTGCTATATGGGAGATATTCATGAATCAATTAAAAAAATCTCAAAATCGACCCATAATGAAATGTCTTGAAGGACTTTGAAAAATCCACAGAGCCGGAAATCTCAACCAAACAAAGGCTCCCACAAATTTATAAGAATCAAACGTCTGAAGCACCTGAAGACAATGAAGGAACAAAAAAATCCAAATCCGTAGCATTCAAAAAAATTTGAAAGGTCCGAAGAATGTATAGAATCTGTAGAATCTCATGAGCCTGAATAATCTGAAGAGTCTGGACAATTCTGTCTATCTAGGCTATTGTTTCAGATCAGAAAGTACTCACTCGGACGCACATTTTTACCTTGAGGACATACAAATTTGAATGTTTTCTGCGAGATCGTTGGCCGTGACATGACAGTAGCTACAAATCTTATTTCGTGACATTCTTTAATTATGTGAGTATTTTTTAAACTACTTACAAATAGTAAAAAGTGGATCGATTGCACGTTACATTAACACTGTACAGAACACGTTAATAAAATGATTTGCATTCCGTCACGTTCATTTTTTAATACAAACACCTTTATCTTTGATATTGCACGCTACTTTTTAATTATATATTTAATTGCCGTGTAGTGTCTGTTAAATTATTAATTATTATATGGCCATTAAATCTAGATGAAAAAAGATAGCGTTTATTTTTAATTGAAATCACGAACTTCCTCACACCAAGATTGTATTTTCTGTGTGATGATGACAGTCGACTGTGGAAAGGTGGAAACTTACAAAAGCGTAAAACTGTCGCAAGAATTTCATTTTTCATTTGAAAGGTTTTCAAACAATTGTAGGTACAAAGCGTTACCTTTCGTTTTGAAATCGTAGGGTGGGAATAGGGAGATAGGAGAAGAGGGAGAGAGCGAAACGCCGTTTTCGATTTTGTTTGAATTTTGAAACTATAGACCATTCGCACCTTAGTATGCAGTATGGGGCTTATGGAGAAACAGTACATGCTTGCCAAACTTATTATAGGATCGATTACTGCACCGTAAAACGGTAGTTTAGACACTATTTATTACTTTTTAACCTAACCTCAGAAGTCAAAAAGGTAAATTAATAACAAGTTGTAATTGTTTGTCAAATGTGGCCGAGAACAGCTTGTATTTATTAAGTCCCCAAAAATTTACAAATGTACAGTATACATATTAGTCACTGGAATCGAATTGAAATTCATCGGAAGA